TGATAAAGTTGTTATGAAGAACTTCAATATTTGCTCTCCTTGAGGCTCTCTTTTGATCCCCGCGGAAGGATAATTCAGTTTTTTTGGCTGCTAAACTCCACCATGTTCAAAATAAAAAAAAATAAAAAAGCTACAGTGGAATAATAATTGAGCATTTTTCTGACTGAAAATAACTCCCTGTTGCTGCTGGAAACAAGATTAATGAGAGCAGTGAGACTGAACCAAAACAGTAAAATGCTGAGCTGCAGCTCCACCTATAAACTGAAAAAGGTTGGAATGACAAGTCAGATATTGAATCCAAATGCAATAAAATATCTGCGCTTGTGCAATGTATTTTAGGTCAGTCACGAACGGTATTACACTGGCGGTCTGAGGAGGTAGCAGAGACAGAAATCTCCACCTTGTCTGTGACGGGATGAGGCCATTTAAGGCTCAACATTGGCTAGGAGTGAAAATGGCCAATCAGTGACCTGAAATGAAGCAGTGTGGAGAATGGGGAGGAGGCAGGGGGCTGACACTTTATCCAGCTAATAAGAAAGGAGACTCCAGCCTCCGCCATTTTGAATGTACAAGAATCAAGGAGGCCTAGGACAGATGGAGTAGTAAATGTGGCGGCAGGCTTTAGCCAGATCCCACCTCCTGCCAATCACATAAAGAGAGAGAAGGCCAGATTCCCACCACTTTAAATCTGACATCCCCATGGCTTACTCATTCAAACACATTCAAATGAGGAATATCGGAGAAATTGAACCACTGCACCACTTTGAAGATGAACCATGTTTTCAGCATTACAATCTTTGCTGCCCAAGAAAGGCAGCCTAAAGGACGTTATGAAAATTGAAGGAATACTCTGATACCAACGTTTCTAACTGGACCAAATGACTGAATTGGCAGTAAAATGTAAGAGCACCAAATCAGAATGTGCATGAATGTCTGAATCATTCATTTAGATATGCGGAAGATTTGTTTTCAGCAATGCAAAAATCTGATTCAGAATTTGAAAACAGTCAGAAACCAATGCCCTCAAGCAGGACCATGACCTGATTTTCAACTGTGGATGATATAATACCAACAGCACTTGTAAATGTGCTTGTAAAGTCCAGTTTTTCGTAAGCTGCTTATGCTGTGGTGTCTTATCATTTCCCATGTAATACTTTCACATAATTAGAGAAATAAAATCTCCATATTGCTAAAAAAAAAAACCCACTATGAAAAAAGTGGAAAACTTCGCACTTGTTGGGTTAAGGATTGTCTTGCATTTATTTTTTATCATGTTATCCTGTGTCCTGTTTTATCAGCTACAACATACACGTTTTTTTCTTGAGCAAAGAGTATTTTGAGAAAATTGTTTTAAAATTGTTTTTTTAGCTTCAGAAATATTGCAGTGGCTTTTCACACTCAATTAAAGGAGTTAGGACTAAAAGAAAATCAGAATAAACACATTTTTCACTGGATACCAACAGTTTGCATTGTGATATAAAGATATTAACATGGAAGGAGATTGTTGACTTGAAAATACAAAAAAAAATCTTATAATCTAATACATAAGAGGAAGTTTAAATGTGCAACCATATACACACATACGTATTAATATTTAATTAAGAATGCACTGCAGATTGGGATTCAGTGGAGGATACATATGGAGTTAATTCTGATTGTAGCATTAACTATTTGACTGAAATATCACTTTAGCAAATTAGGATCTATCAAACTGATATAGGGTTATACAAATATATATAGGGTATAAAATAAATTTATTTTACATGAATATCGTTTAAATGGACTCATATTCAAAGGGTCCGTCTCCCTTCCAGTGATCACCAAATGGGAGTCATATCTCAAACACTGGTGTCAGAGTGACTGCAGCTGCAACCTCCTCCTGTTTCGACCACGTGACGGGGGGAGTGTGTCTAGGTTCAATTCCCCTCCAGAAACTCAGCTAAATTCTGCTGCTATAAAAAAAAAATCTAACTTTTTGATTGCAGCAGATACTTGCTGAGGTGCTGCATGAGTCTGGCACAGTGAGGACTGACATTCCCCCGGTGGAGAGGACACTGAAGGATCACTGAGGTCAGCCTGAGGCGAGAGCATAGCCGGAGGTAAGAATGCAATGAGATCACAAATACTATCAAAAATAGGTTTTAACCTATGATTAAAAGTGTTTATTTATATGTATCTATTAGGCCTAGTGAATTTCTGCCATGCTAAAGCCTCTCAAAAAGGAAAAATAAAAGTTAAATATTGAGTTTTATTTTATATTGCATGAATCAACTTTTTCTGTCTCAGTACTGGTGTAACACCGTCACATTTCTGCCATTTTGACACTTTAAATATTTCCATACACTTTGGCCTAATGACCCAGAGGGAACACCACCTTTGTAACATAAATGTATTTACAAATTTAAATAATGTATTGGTATTTAGTAAAAATATATTATTATTATATATTCTATTCTGTCTTTGTTTTAATTTACTAATATTATTAAATCTGGGCGATAAAAAGATAAAAAAATAGTGAATAGTGCAAGGACAACAATGTGGCATGTTAAATAGAATAAAAAGATGATCAGAAAGTAAAATGAAATAGTGTACATTGGATAAAATACTGCTTAAACACGAGGACAGTAAACTGATGAATGTGGCCCAAGTGCTCCTTTATGTACAAAATGCTGAATCTATGAGACTTTACAGGCTCTGAATGAATTCAGGCTTTACTGTCTATAATTGTGTTCAGGGCAATTTGACTGATTGTCTAATTGACTGTGACAGAATAAGGGGGTTTACTGAGATAAATGCAGCCACATCATTATGTCTGTGGTATGGAGAGACACCAGTAGCTACACCCACCTGAACACACCACTAAACAAGCAAAAGTGAAAAATACTGGAATGACAATAAATGTAATGACATATCTAAATTAGATGAAGGTAAATTGAGGAGAAGATGGTAGTTTAGAGTGTATGGTGGAAACGTGTTACTGAGGTTGCACGATTAAAGCAGCAGCTCCATCTCAACAGTTGGGAGTTGAGTGTCTGTCAGCGCGAACACACACACGGCCGCATGACTAACGGTGGCCGTTCATTCGCTCATGTCACCAACAGATATATAAGTCACACTGGCACCTGATTTATACACGAGCCGCAGACTATATGCTCCATTTACCGCAAAACCACAAGCGCATATTTCACCTGCAAACACAGCGAGGCCTGAGTCAGACATCGACCAACCGCCATGATGGCTGGTGGCAGGTTATTACACACACACACACACACACACACACACACACACACACACACACACACACACACACACACACACACACACACGCACGCACGCACGCACGCACGCACGCACGCACACACACACACACGCACGCACGCACTAAGGTTCTCTTGAATTTTATCGAGTGGTTTTTAATTCAAGCGGTTATAAAGCTTCAAATTAGGGTACACTGATTAAAACGCATGGAGTGATCCAAATGAGCCTTTACTGCGTGAAAACGTTTTTTTAGATATATGTAACAATCCAGCAATTTACCAGAGTAAAATCTATAAATCAAACTTGAGTAGGCTAATTATGATCCATAAACCTACCTTTATTTTGAAAAAATAAAGTGATACTTCAAGAGACATCTGCAAATTCAATCGGAACAAATAATCCAGAATTGTTCATATGAAGTCAATACATTTGGGAAGCTTCTACGCTATCAATAACATAAAGTATTTAAAGAGTGTAATCAATGTTGTGTCGCAGACAACTCTGGAGAACTGTAAAGATGTTAATACTTTCTTTATTGTAACAAATCGGGCCAACTTCGACACGTTATTTTATTCTACGAGCCTCTTCTAAAGACATTGGCCTTCATGAATACATTGTTAAAGTCCTACTCATCAGTCATTGTTTAGCATAAGATACTGCATTTTATTTTGTAAATTGACCCATTATTTTACTCGTAATGTTTTGGCTGAAGGAACAATATCTCTTCGAACAGATTTCGAAGAATAAACCCTGCTACTGTTCATATTAGCTGCCTTTTTTTACAAATTAATGTGTTGAAATATGTTGTTGATCGGATGTAATATTGGTGGATAACAGAGGGTTTTTGAGTAAATTATTCTTACAAATAATAGGCCTCATTCTTTAAGTGGGTTGTCGAAGAATCAACATTTCTTGGAAGTTGTGGGATGCAGTTACGTTTTTGAGTGGAGTAGTTTTCTGCACTAGAAATTACATTTTATTTCGGATATAATATTAGCTGTGGATGTATCTGTGCATTTGGACCATGCCTGTGCCACAGTTACACGGTAAGCCATGTGTCAAGTAAACGATGAGTTTGTCCAGAAGTAACGAAGTGAAGACGGTTCACTGCATATATCTTGATGGTAGGCTAGTATCAAATATAGTCCATTCAGGCAATTCACATAACAATGACCAATAGATATTGGCCCGCAAAACAAGATCATTGGGGAAACAATTGTACAGTAAACGTATTGTAAGTTTTGGCTGATTGTAAATTAATAAAACAAATCCATTGTGAAGTTGGACTGGATGTCACTGAGGCCCAGAAGAGTCACAGTCCGCCTGTGAGGCAATACTCCACGGCTGCATCGTCAGGGCCAGCCTGATGAGAGAACCAGGGCGACAAATAACTTTTTCTCCCTGCTGCTTTCACACACATGTGAGCTAGGGAACCGTGTGTGTGTGTGTGTGTGTGTGTGTGTGTGTGTGTGTGTGTGTGTGTGTGTGTGTGTGTGTGTGTGTTTCCAAGAAGAAAACACCACAGTCAGTGAGTCCTCCTACCCCCCCACACACACACTCAGAACTCAGAGAGCGCAGGCGCAGAACGCATCTCTGTGCAGGAGAAGCTGAAAGGCACTAAGGCAGTGGACACTTCCCAGCAGACAGCCGCCTCTGCTGCCTCCATACTCCCGCTTCAGAACAGACGTTTTAAAAGCCACGTGTAGCGGCGGAGGGAAGGGGACACCCCGCTGAGAACAGGCTGAAGCCGCGGTGCACAGGGATGGATTTAAGCAGATGATAGCTGACCGCATGAGGTACAGTATAGGCTAGAGACTCGGCTCCTGATAATCTGCACTGTAAAGTCATTATCTGATCATTATCCGCTTGCTTGTAAACAGCGCTGTCGGGTCTATAGACGGGGGGTGTATTACGGTATTAGTGGCTTTGAAATACAGTGTCATCCCCTGTGAGGGAAATCAGCTGCGATAATTAGACCCGCTGAGCTCTCACGGTACGACAATTTTATGATGAAGATTTTAATCTGACAGTTATGGGCAGCCACGGAGGAGGATGAGAGAAGGAGTGTCAGATGGGCTGGAGTCCAGCAAACAACTAAGGCTGCCTTTTGTATTTTTTTCTGTGCATTTCTTATTGCTCATTTTTAGTTTTAAATACGAGTTTTTATCAAGTTAATTAATGCAAAAATGATTTGTGTTATTTACAAAAAAATACGGTCTTTATATTAAGCTAAACAATTGTATTATTATTATTATTATTATAAAGGCTACATTGTATTGCTAAACTATTTGAGTATTATCAGATGGCCATTTGAATATAGGCTAGGATTATTTTTAAATGTATTTCTTTATTGATACTATTTTCAAAAGAATATGGGTTCTTGTCTCGTGTTCGTTTTCGTAATTAGGCCTATTTATAAATAATCCTGGACATGACATTTGGTGTTATTATTATTATTATTATTATTATTATGTTCTCTATGGAGCAGGATTGGGAAGTCAGCGTGGGAGTTTCTGTGACAGTGGCCTTTGCATTTTGAATAAAATATATATATGTTGTTTATTAAATGCCAGATCCCGGCTTTAATCCTAAACAAGTTTCCAATATTAATTTAGTTTCATTATTGCGCAGTTTTGTCATGAAACACAATATATCCTACCGTTGAAAGAGATGTTGGAAAATGTAGCCTACTTTTTTTTTCAAACCTAATTTCTGATCCATCATCTCATATTATTTACTCGTCGTACTGACCATAAAACTCCTCCTGTTTATACTATGGCCTTTATGAATCAGAGCTGCAGACACAAAATGGCGGTAGTTCAATGTATTGCAGCTGTTACCACTTCTCACGTCCCATAACGCATATCTTTCCCAGCCCTTTAGTCCTTTTAAGCATTTTTCATGTTTAAGTATGCACTGTGATATCTGTAGACTCCTTTAAAAAGGATGTGATAATGTGGACAGTGCATAATGTGATGTAAGGCTACTGGTGGTGGCCAATAAGATAACAGTGGAGCTTACATAACAATTGTAGTCAAACATATTTAGTGTAAAAACAGAACTTCTGTTTTCATATTTTCTCCAGTGCTGACATAATAAAATGGCATCGAGTGCATGTGCCTTGAAGACATTTCAGATTGAGAGTGACAGAAAGAGAAAGAGGCTCCATGCTGCTCTGTTAAACAGCACCAGTGAAAGGCCCAGTTTCACACTGTAAAAAATGCTCTGTGGTCATTTCCCTGTCAGCCCTTATCTTTATTAGCATTCACAAATGTCTCCATCAGTTTACACTAGTTGTACCTTTCCACTTTCATGGCTGAGAGAGCAGTCGCTCTGTGTTTACAGGCCCACATGCCCTGTGTGCAAACCTGAGGAAAGAACAGAAGGGGAAAAGGGAACAGAGCAACAGGTTTGACACTGACGCAGAGTGGCCTATTTGATTAGTTTTTCCTAGTTTCTTCAGAGAGATTGGTAGTAATTGCGCTTAAGAAGACTGATGAGAAGTTGTGGTGAGAGTAAAAGTACAATTCTAGCCAGAATCTGAAATATAACAGTGTGAAGTGTTTACATGCCTTGAAATGTAGGCCAAAAAATAACAAATTTTTAGTTTTTCAAGCAAAAATAACTCAGCAGTTTGGAGGCAATCATGAAGCCCAGAGCAGCAGAGGGATGAGACACAGACACAGATGTTGGGTTATGAAGCAGTGTGAGAGACAATCTGCAGTGCTCCTATAGGTGTGTGAGACAGAAGATCTTATGAGTGTCAACCACGATGACAAGGATACATAATAACCTCCATTTGAAGGTACTATTTTTTCCCCTTGGTTTTGGTCCTTTCCTGTTCGAACTCATTTAACCCATTTAGTTTGAAACTGCTTTCATTTGTGTTCCACAGACAGTAATTCTCATACCAAACCACACTCTCAATGGCATTTATACATTATTATTATTACAGTATGTCAGTCTGACATGCTGCTGGATTCTCTAGATACTGGAAAGTATAGCTCAGTAAAATGTGTGCGGGATATCCTGACCTTTTTCCAGGTGCAGATTAGTTAAGTGAAATGCTTAACTGATGTGTAAAGTTTGCCCCATTGCAATAAAGGCTGTCCAGAATGAAGACATGTTAGCCTTTTGACTTAAGCTGAATGACTAAAGACTATTTATGCTTAAAAGACAAATGGCTGCAGAGCCTCAAATCTTAGTGGCGATTTAGAATTGTAAAGCTTATATAATTTGGTAGTATTTTTTTATATTGCATATATTTATATATTTGCTGTTTCTATAAAAGTTGAAATGAAAGACTGTCCATATTGAATCTAACTATTTCAATTATCATGAGAGTGGTTAAAAAAACTGTAGAGAGCAATGTTTCCAAACGCTTCAATTGTGCTGAACATGTTAGCTTAATATGCGGTTTCCCTTTATGGAAGTGGTATTTTTTCAACCTTGTGAGTGTGTTTGCGTGTGTATGTTTGTGTTTATATGTCTGTGTAGGTGTGCATTGAGATCAAAATAAAGGTATAAAGTTAAAAGGTGGGTCTGAGCAAGGTCAGCAGAAGTAATGGGGGGCCGGGTTAAGAAGTTGGGAAGGGCCCCCAGACACACACTTTACGCCCCTGGTCCAATTTGGCATCGGCTAGTGTGTTAAAAACAGAAATTAATTAAAAAGATTGGAGCTTTAAACATTGTGTCTTTTGTTTTATTTTTGCTTTTTGCGATCGAGAACCTGTGAAAGATTTTAAGGATGTGCGAGTCCTAAAATCAGTTTAAACCACAAATACCCAAGTTAGTGAATCTTCCACCTTCAAGTGACTTTTCTTTACAAAGAACAGCATCTGGTATCTGGAAACTTAGACCATTAAACAGATGTCCTTGTTTTTTTGCTGAATAGTGTACAATATTGTATTTCAAATGGCTGAGATGAGAAAAATAATTATGATTTGACATTTACAGTATTTCCAATTCGTCAGGTTAGCTTAGCAGGGAAATTCTAATTACACCTTTCAACCAAAAACATATGCGGCTTGCGGTGGAAAATGGGATTTATTTCGTTTTTTGGCCTTTTTGCTTTTATTGAAAACTGAGAGACAGACAGGGCGCTGTAGGCCTATATGGAGAAGCTGCCCACTGCTCCTAAATCTATGATTTGTCAAATGCACAGTGTACATTTCACTTTGTGTTCTGTGCTGTGTACATGCGTGACGATAAAAAGAGGAGTCAAAATCCTCCTTTAAAAAAGTTAAAGGCTCAGCGCTCTACACGGTGAACTAGCAGAGAATCCGCTGGAAAATTGGATTTATATTAGAAAAACCTCGGCAGACATTTACAGAGCAAGACATGTGATAGTATTACAGAAGACAGGGAGTCTATGCATTAAATTAAAGATTTTATATTTCAATGAATTTAACAGTGTGGTGAAAAAGTGTGAAATGATGGCCAAACATCTGCTCCACGGCAACATTAACACTCTACTTCAGTTTACATTAAACAGAGGATATATTGTTACTCTCTTGCATACAAAAAAAAAAATGTCAAAAGGCATATCATCACCGAGCAATAGGGAAATGTATTAACACAATGATGAATTAAGTTAAATGTTGATGAGAAATTTAGATTTTGAGCATTGTAACTACTGTATGAATTGTAATTATAATAATGCTAATAATATTTGTTGTCTAATTGCAATATGAGTGACTTTATAATAATAATAATAATAATAATAACAACCACATCAACAAGAACAATATTTCTCATCATCATTAAAATAATAATATTTCCTACGATTGATCTCATTACAATATGAGTATTTTTTACAATTAATATAATAATGAAAATACAAAAAACTACTTAGTAAAGTGTTTATAAATTATTTAAAAAAAGGTTGAGACTGAGATCCAGAGAGTAAAGGGAACATGGAATATTAAATAACTAAAGAAATAAATGTAATAAACCCTCCAAATAAATGTTGTCACACAAGCAAGTCTACGTCACACGAGGTTGATAGAATGCTTGTTTGACTAAGGTATTATGTTATATTCAGCATTGTATTGACAGCTAACAGATGAATGTAAAACTTGGCAGACAGCAGGTTTATATTTACAGTCTCGATACACGGCTAACAGCAACGTCAAATTCTTTGAGAAGGCCAGTGTAAAGACACAGAGTATATAACACATATAGACTTTTTGTTTGAGCTGTATGTACTATGATAGTAATTCAAGTATTTTTTCAATCCTGCAGAGATGCTGCAGGAGAAGCTTTCTGCTGTGACGGATGAATCTATGAGGGTGCAGACCGGTGGGGACAGGGACCCCCTTACAGACCAGTCCCGACTGGCCCTGTCCACATCTCCCAGCATTCCCAGCTCCAGTGAGCCTGACCAGGTACGCAAGGAGACCCTCAAGTCCACACGGCAAAACAAACTGATGCATCTAATGGCTGCAGTTTGTACACCTATTGAAATAAAGATGAATAATTATCTATATTTAATTCAAATGTAATGACATGTTGATTTTTGATTGACTTGAACAAAAAATCTAAATGTTTTCCGAAGCGAGATTCAGATGAGAAATAAACAGCGGAAACATCTGTTTACACTAAAATGTTTTATAATACCAACAGTACACACAGCCAGATGTTCATTAAGTGTGAATCAATAAAGTGCATTCAAAAGATAGTGTATTTTTTATTTGACATGTTTGTTTGTATGCAGAACTTCTTAATGAAATTGTGTTTTTCTAGATGCCATATTTCTAATAGCCATGGGATGGTGTGTGTCAGTCTGTGTGTGTGTGTGTGTGTGTGTGTGTGTGTGTGTGTGTGTGTGTGTGTGTGTGTGTGTGTGTGTGTGTGTGTGTGTGTGTGTGTTTAACAGTGATTTGTGTCTTCTTTCAGAACATTGAGAACATTAAGGTTGTTCTGCACGAGAGGGAGCTGTGGAAGAAGTTCCACGAGGCCGGCACGGAAATGATCATTACTAAAGCAGGCAGGTTAGTAATGCAAACCATGTTTTGCATGTACTAGATGTGTGGACTTATGTGTATGCTTACTTCCATGTAAGTATAGCTTATCTATATATTTTATTATTAGAAGTAAGCTTAGCAAATCATTTCTGGAACAAGTATTCAGATATGTTACCTTAGTTAAAAGCTTGTTAGGAGTAAAAGTCCTGAATTTTAAATAAAACTGCAGAAGTCTGAGGAATATTTAATTACTTCAACATTATGGTAAGTACATCATTAGGTATTTTACACACCATACGATTTTTTACAAGTAGCATTCCAGCGTTAACACTAGAGTTCAGTCATCATAAATAGTTTTGATTTATTTTAAACAAGCCATTGCCTAAACAAATATCTCTGAATTTGAACTAAGACATCTATAGAAACCTGTAAAAAGTTGCATATGTTATTATTCAAATTACATATTCTAGATGCTCCTGTTTCTTTTACATTTGTGGAAAAATACGGAGATATTCAAGGGATGGATTTAGTACGTCAAATGAGTACCATGCCTTTCTGTGAGCATCTGTTTTAAAGAGCTAATAGTAACATATAGCAGTTATAAGTTTGTCTTTCAGGAAGAGACAGAAAGTTCCTGCAGCTACATAATTGAAAACACAAATGACTGCTCGACTTGTTAGATTTAATGCGACCCGAGGATTAGATAGTGAGGCCTTTGGACATTTACCAGAGAATGAGTACACTCAGAGCGACCTCCACCTATCATTCCTCATGGGAAGTTTTTTTTTCTAGTACAAAATGTAAAAGGTCACCACATTTTTTCCTTAATGCTGCATAACTGTAAGAGATGGGCTTTCCCTTGTCCAGCTGATAAAGTGGGCTCTGAATCCTTAAAGCCCTTTGAAGGGCGGTGCGCTAGTTTAGCTGTGCAGCTGCTCTGGGAAAACCTGTCTGGGTTTACCTAATGTCAGTCTGCTGTAGACATGCCGAAGGTCACACTGACATGGCTTCAACCTCCTAAAGCAACTTCTTGGATAATGAACTCACACCAGACTGAAATATAAAAGCAAGTTTTCCATTGCGCACCTAGAACCTTTATGGTCATGTTTGAATCTGGATGTTGTAAACAAGTAAAATACTGACATTTGGGAAGAACATAAGGTCAATCACAGCATTGTGTACGTTTTCAGTAATGTGAGAGTCATTTCCAGTGCTTCTCGAACAAATATTCTAATTATGAAGACAATAAATGATGACACATTAATATCTGAGACTATGTAAAGATTATCCTTAATTGTTTTCAATTGTAGTGAAGTAATCGTCAATAGCTTCTGAGAGTCTCACCTGCACTGGATTGTTAAAATCTGTCAAATATGGCATCAACAAGTGACAATGTCTCCCAGTGTCTATCAGAGTCAGAAGTTAAATCATGAAGCAGAAACCACATTTGGAATAAAATATTTGATTAGTTCTCTATAACGGATGTATTAGGAGTAAAGTTACCAGTGCACACTCCATACTTCGTCCGATCAGCACTTGAACTGGCAACTATTCGGTTCCCAAGCCAAGTCCCTACAGACTGGCTGATTAAAGTGACAATGGCAGTACATGACTAGGAACAATATAAAGTTATGAACCGCTTAACAATGGAGGTAAATATGTATGAAAATAATAGTCAGCTAGGCAATTTAAGGGGGTGTCTTTCTAACTATTTTGACATCTAATCAATAATAATTATAGGCCAAATCAAATCTATAAAACAACTAAAATCTATTCTAGCCCCATGTTGATTTCAAGGAAATTGTATTTACCCAAGAAATCAGCCCTGGGGAATGCCACACAAACAAGAGAACTCTTCAGACCAAATAATTTTACAAAACAAAACACTTCATACTGGTTTTAGATAAAAGTGCAGAGAATTACACCACTGAAAAGTCAGGGAATAGTGAGGTCAACTGTTGCCATTTGTACAGTGGGGCAAAAAAGTATTTAGTCAGCCACCAATTGTGCAAGTTCTCCCACTTAAAAAGATGAGGCCTGTCATTTTCATCCTAGGTATACCTCAACTATGAGAGACAAAATGAGAAAAAAAAATCCAGAAAATCACATTGTCTGATTTTTAAAGACTTTATTTGCAAATTATGGTGGAAAATAAGTATTTGGTCAATAACAAAAGTTCATCTCAATACTTTGTTATATACCCTTTGTTGGCAATGACAGAGGTCAAACATTTTCTGTAAGTCTTCACAAGGTTTTCACACACTGTTGCTGGTGTTTTGGCCCATTCCTCCATGCATCTCCTCTAGAGCAGTGATGTTTTGGGGCTGTCGCTGGGCAACACGGACTTTCAACTCCCTCCAAAGATTTTCTATGGGGTTGAGATCTGGAGACTGGCTAGGCCACTCTAGGACCTTGAAATGCTTCTTACGAAGCCACTCCTTCGTTGCCCGGGCGTTGTGTTTGGGATCATTGTCATGCTGTAAGAGACCCAGCCACGTTTCATCTTCAATGCCCTTGCTGATGGAAGGAGGTTGTCACTCAAAATCTCACGATACATGGCCCCATTCATTCTTTCCTTTACACGGATCAGTCGTCCTGGTCCCTTTGCAGAAAAACAGCCCCAAAGCATGATGTTTCCACCCCATGTTTCACAGTAGGTATGGTGTTCTTTGGATGCAACTCAGTATTCTTTCTCCTCCAAACACGTCTAGTTGAGTTTTTACCAAAAAGTTCTATTTTGGTTTCATCTGACCATATGACATTCTCCCAATCATCTTCTGGATCATCTAAATGCTCTCTAGCAAACTTCAGACGGGCCTGGACATGTACTGGCTTAAGCAGGGGGACACGTCTGGCACTGCAGGATTTGAGTCCCTGGCGGCGTAGTGTGTTACTGATGGTAGCCTTTGTTACTTTGGTCCCAGCTCTCTGCAGGTCTTTGACTAGGTCCCCCCGTGTGGTTCTGGGATTTTTGCTCACCGTTCTTGTGATCATTTTGACCCCACGGGGTGAGATCTTGCGTGGAGCCCCAGATCGAGGGAGATTATCAGTGGTCTTGTATGTCTTCCATTTTCTAATAATTGCTCCCACAGTTGATTTCTTCACACCAAGCTGCTTACCTATTGCAGATTCAGTCTTCCCAGCCTGGTGCAGGTCTACAATTTTGTTTCTGGTGTCCTTTGACAGCTCTTTGGTCTTGGCCATAGTGGAGTTTGGAGTGTGACTGTTTGAGGTTGTGGACAGGTGTCTTTTATACTGATAACGAGTTCAAACAGGTGCCATTAATACAGTTAACAAGTGGAGGACAGAGGAGGCTCTTAAAGAAGAAGTTACAGGTCTGTGAGAGCCAGAAATCTTGTTTGTTTGTAGGTGACCAAATACTTATTTTACCGAG